TATAGTCTAAACTCCTTAAAGGGGGTTATATAGGGGATTATATGGAGGACTATTATAGGGGATATTAAGGGGGATACTAGGAGTTTAGCCTATGGCTCTTATGGTTTCGGGTATCATGAAGCAAACTGGAGGTTTTAGGGGGGTGGAGTCTGGCTTGAGATCTTGAAGAGGGAGTCTGAGGATAAAGGCTTGAGAGTTAGGATTCAGTGCAATGTACGATGCAGGGTCAGGCATGGGGCTGCCTAGATGTTTGGATAATCTTCCGTTGTTTGGATTTAGGCCTTAGTGTTTAAGGAAAAGGTTCTTAGGTATCATGGGGCCCTGTACTACCAAGCGGGAAACTAGGGGGTAGTATAGGGGGCGGGTAGCAGTGAGACCCATGAAGATACGTCCGGCATCATTTCCCCAGACCACCCCGTCTCCCATGGCCTTATCGTTGGAGAAGGACTTCCTCGAAACATGCCCTAAATATCCTGAATAGGGTTTCGGGTTTGGGGGAAGGACCCCTGTGATCCTTTTCTAATTCCCATATGTCTTTGGATAAGCCCTAGCCCCAATACCCCTACGTACAGAAACCCCATGTACCCGTCAGGACCAGAATCCCATTCTCAAAGCACGCCAAGTCCTAAGCCCTTAGCCCTGGGCGCCCACACGGGGAAGCAAGCCAGGGCTTCAACTAGACTAACGTGGGCTTATATAGATTATTGAGCCCCCCTAAATGCTAAACCCTAACCCTAAGCCCTAAACCGCGCATCGTCCTTTGAACAGGGACCGTACTCGGTTCCATGCTAGCTGTGAGGGAGGCCTGAACCTTGAATTCTAAGCTGTAAAACCATGTGCTAGGTTCACCCTGACCTTCAACTACTCCTACGGCCAGGACGTCCAGGGCTAGGGTTCAGGGTGAGGTTTAGCGTTAAGGATTACGTTTCAGCAAAGTTCGCGGGAGGTTAAGGGATTGACACTTTAGGATCGCGAGTTTGGGGGTATGGTCATGTGATGGTTCCTTCCCACCGCTCCAACATCATCACAGCTCTTCCACCTTACAATGCAGGGCTTATGTGGCACTTTCCAAAATATGGGGTCTCCTCCGTGCACTCCGAATAGTCCTTGTGAAGGGGCGTCCCAAAAAGGAAACACAAATTTGGGGGAAATCCCGAAAACCACGCACCTCCTAAATCAGTCTTATAAACAGTTTCAAGGAGCTTCTACTTTTTTGGAGCCTCAGATGGGGAGCAACAAGTCCTAACGGGGTGAAATCAGCCAGGGGTTTCTAGTGCTGCGACCGAAGAAGTACCATCTTCCTATTTTATTAGGTCCTGCATCAGAATTTCCAGGGATCTAGGACCATGATCTCGGTCTCGCACTCCAATCTCGCAAACGCTTGATCTTCGACCACAATTCGGATTGGTGGCAAGATTCGGGCCGAATCTTCACCGGGTTGGCCTTTGGTTTTTTAATGGTTTAGCGTTTAGGGTTTCGGATTCGGGGTTTCTTGCATGTAGACTTATGGGTTCTCAGAATGGACGAAAAGGCCAAGCCAGTTCAAGAAAAGCAGGAAATCATTTACTCCCCGTTGAACAGGTAAGGAATGGGGGAGGGGTATGTTGGGACTATTCTAGGCTATTGCTTGCTAGTTCTGTACTGGGTAGCCAACCACAATTAAGCTCAACCCTGTATCATGGAGATACTCGCAGATCCAAACGACAGCTGCAAAATTAGGAAGGGGGCCTCATCGGGAGCGCAAGTACTGAACTTCATACTTGGGTGCGAAGGGAACCTTACTCTTTCCCTGGTGAAGGCTATGTGTACAGAGGGCATACCTTATCCTTTTTTGACTGGAGAGGCCTGATGAAAAGACCTACTCCCCAAGATGCTCCACTGAAATTGAAGTGTGGCGGCCTTGTCCAAGCCTCCCCAGACAAACATGAAGAACCTATACATAACTTTAACCCCGTCGTATCAGATCTTCAAACCCCTCCCCAACATATTCAAACCTCCCAACCCCCCAACATAGGATATTCTCCGTAATATATTCTTCTACCAAGTCGTACCCCCTAAGGGTCCAAGGACCCAAATAATAGGGATCTAGGGCCCAAATACCATCAATATTATAGTATTTGGGCCCTAAAGCCCTATTATTTGGGTCCTCGGACCCTTAGGGATTGGATCCTCGTACAATTCTCGAGGAGCCTGGCTTCGTGGCTGGCATGACCTTCTCGATGGTTGTCGTGGCAGGAAACGCGTTAATGCCGCTCGGCATCCGGATCCATCGAGGGTTTGTGTAGTTAGGGTTTAGGGCTTAGGGCCCAACCCCAAACCCAAAATCCCCCAACCCTAAACACCCTGAACTCAAAACCGTCAGCCTCTAAACTCAACACAGAACCCCTAAACTTGTAACCGTCAACCCCTAAACGCAAAACCTTACACTCCTACACTCAAACCCACTAACCTAAACCGCGAAGATCCTAGAACCCTGAACCCTTGAAACCCTAAACGCCTTAAACCCCAAACCGCCCAAACCCTAAACCCTGAATCCTAGACCGTAACACCCTGAACCCATTAACCCCCAAAACCTTAAACCCTTAAACCCTAAACACCTATAACCCTAAACCTGAGGGCTTGAAGTCTCTCCACATCAGGTACCTGGTTCCCTTAGACTATAGACCTTGACCCTTAAACCCTTAAACCCTTAAACCCTAAACCCTTAAACCTTAAACCCTTAACCCTTAAAACTTAAACCTTAGACCCCAAACCGCTTAAACCCTAAACTCTTAAGCCTTTACACCCTGAACCTTTAAGCCCTAAACCCTAAACCCCTAAACCCTAAAACCCTAAATCCCTAGACCCTAAATCCTAAATCCCTAAATCCCCAAGACCTAATTTGCATCAGGTACTTGGTTTGCAGCGAGGTGGCAGACCGCACCCGATTCATCTACATCGACGACCGCGAGGTTTCATGGAGTGTGTGGTTTGGGGTTTAGGGTTTGGGGTTTAGGGTTTAGGGTTGAGGTTTAGGGGGCTAAGGGTTCAGGGTCTAGGCTGTAAGTGTTAAGGGTTCCGAGGGTTAAGGGTTTAGGCTTTAGGTTTTGCTAAAGGGGGTTAAGTGTCTAGGGGGTTAAGGATGTATGGTTTAGGGTTGAGGTTAAGGGGGTTAAGGGGGTTAAGGGTTTGGTGTCAAGGGTTTGGGGTGTAGGGGGTAAGGATTTGGCGGTGAGGGTTTGGTTTAGGGTTTGGTGTTTAGGTTGGTGTTTAGGGTTTGGGGTTAAGGGTTTGGTGTTTAGGGTTTGGTGTTTATGGTTTGGGGTTCAGGATTTGGGGTTTAGGATTTGCGGTGTGGGCTTGGAGGTTTAGGGTATGGTACGGTTGACACGACAGACACTACAGTTGATGCAAAACATGAGGGGTCCCTTTAAAGGGGGTTATGGGAGTTCTACACAGACTTTGAGGGTTTAGGGTATTGGATTCTGGGTCTAGGCATTCATGCTAAAATTCTGCATGATCTTGGGCATTGTGGCACTAACATATTCTAAGGTGATGCAAGGTTTTTAGATGTTTTTAGTATCAACACGGGTTGCGGGTGCAGTTAGCTTGTGTTGTTTAAGGGAAGGCCCTAGATGAAACCCCAATAGCCTAAACCCTAGACGCGAAGGCGTCTTTAGGCACAGGCTTTGCTTGGGATGTAGAGTTGACCAACGGGGCCACTTTTGGGTGCACTCCAAACCCCCAAACCCTACCCCAGACCATGAACCCTGATCCCCAAAGCCTCTCTTTAGGGTTTCGCTGCCCTCAAGGGTTTGAGACCCCAAGCCTTGGTGAAAGCCTGCTAGCTTTCCCCTTCAAAAATCTGCATCTTCGCGAACTGCTTGGACAGAGGGCGTCCATTCAAGAGCTACTCCCTACTTCGCATAGTCTCAAAACAACTCTGTTGACCTGGACCTGCAAATCGCGAGATTTCAGTCTTGCAGAGCGGCAGGGCGAACTTCGTTGGTCGACTAAGAAACTTGCGCGGATTTTGGACAGGATTTTGGATGGCTCGTAGCTGCCATAGCAAACGGAACTGCCATAGCACACGGAACTGTCGCTTTCCAGCACCTACGTGCAGTGTCTCGGCCAGAGCCTCGTTCATTCAGGGCACTGAAGGGTACTTATGCTGAGATTCGTTGGCGACATGACGCCGTGTCTCTCACATGTCGAAACTCATGCTACAACGCCTGGGGCTGACAGCAAGCGGAAGTTGCGTAGGAGTACGCGGACCAGGCCGACAACAAAGTCTTAGGCTCAGCATTTGAAGTCGCTTCCTGCTTCGTTTTCGTCCTGCTCTGACCAGGCTAATGATTACGTGAAAGTAGCGAAGCTTGTGTCAACATTGATTGTCCGATGGCAATTCCATAGAGCTGTGGAAGCCATCAATACTTACGATGCTTAAGCTGCGCCCCTGTAAGCCCTACGCCTCCAGCAATATAGCGGTTTGCATTCAGTTTTCCCAGCGAAAGCGAGAAAGCCTAAACTCCTCTCTATCCCCATATCACCATTTGTGCATGTTTTTTGGGCGGCGCGAAATATGCGGAGGCATAGTATACAGGCAAACCCAAAAAAAGAAGCAAGACTTCGACTACCCCGTTACCCCGTCACATATACCCTTGAGTTCCTTATGAAGCCTGGAAGCACAAAGGTTAATGCGAGGGTATTGGTGAACCCAACCTGCAGAATGAGGAGCCATAGGAGCGCCAGATGCTAGACGCTCTATGAACATTTAGCGTTGTAGTGTTTAGGGTTCCGAAGACCTAAAAATTGAAATCTTAAACTCTAAGCCCTAAACCCTAAGTCTTAAACCCTACATCCTAAGCCTGAAACCTTAAACCCTAAACCCAAACAAATCCCCTTGTCACAGAGGTTTGCTACATGCTCCTCTACTGCTTCGCCTGCGTCTTCAACGTGGCCCTGGACCTGATCACCACCTACATGGTGGCCTACAGGGCGGCTCGGCCCTGAAGTTAAGGTTTAGGATTTAGGGGTTTTGGGATTAGGGGGTTTTAGGGGTTTTAGGGGTTTAGGGCTTGGGGGTTTAGGCGTTTGGGGTTCAGGGTTCAGGGTTTAGGGTTTAGGGGTTTAGGGTAAAGGGCTTAGGCGTTTAGGGTTTTCGGGTTAAGGGGTTTAGGGGTTTTAGGGGTGCGGGGTTTAGGGTAGGGTTTTGGGGTTTAGGGGTTTTTAGGGGTTTGGGGTTTAGGGTTTAGGGGTTCGGGGATGTGGCTAAATGGGGATGTAATTGGGTCTGTGTTAGGCGCAAGAAGGTCTCTGGAATAATGTAGATGGGCTTGATTAAGGTGTAGGGTATATGCCTGGAAAGCCAAGTTACCCCGAAGAATGGGCTACTGTACCGTGGGAATTGTAAGCAACAACCGAAATTATGCTGTGCTAGGGGGCGCGAGTGTACGAAGAGATTCTGACTTACCGCAGTCCTGGAAGAGGAGTGTGCCGCTGCATCTAAGCCTAGCTACAAAAGTCCTGTAGCTTAAACCCTAGACTGTCCCCCTCAACACAAAATCCGCAATCCTGAGTCAATACCCTATCGCACACATAGATACCCTAAGTTCTGAACCATGTGTGCCCTAAATCCTGGGCAACGTATGGAAGGTGGTCAAAATTGTGGTCCCGCTCTTGGTCCTCACTATACACGCCCCCCCCTCCCCAATACTTAGGGCATCAGAACTGGACCACAGTCTTCACAAGCCTAAACCCAAATCCCTTCATCCCATATCTCCCTGCATACGCCTATTTAACCCCTCTATGACCCTATATACCCCAAACCTCCTCTGCAAATATCACTGCGCAGGTGAACGTGGGACTTCGCATGAAGACCTATGATGGCACGCTGCTCTCGAATCTGCAGTCCTTTGGGCTCCGTTGAATGAGTATTAGCGTTTAGGTTTTGGGTTAAGTGTTTAGGTTTAGGGCTTAGGGCTCAGGATTTAGCATTTAGGGTTAAGGATTTGAGTGCTGTGGAAGCCTAGATGCTGGAGTTGGGGGTTGTTCTAAAGGTCCTTGTGAAGAATGGACCTTTGGAGATGCACTTCCTTAAAGGGGAGTCCTAACCAAACAGGGGGCTACACTACGGCATTTTTGCAAAGTATTTTGAACAACTACCGTCTGAGCGTTTCTCAGCATGGGTGTTTTTGTTAAATGCCCCGGCGAGAAGTGGGCATCATGAAGAGGTTTCGGGGGGCCCTTACTAGAAAGTCTCATTTGATGGAGCAGGAAATGACCTTACTAGGTTGGACCATCCAAAAATACACCACTGATCTTAGGGTATCGGGTTTAAGGCTTAATTGAGGCTTCAGGGCTACGATTAGTTTTTAGGTAAGACGGGTGGGTTGCGGCTAAGGAATTTTGATTAAGTTACCATCATATGAGTATATGTACTATAGTCGATACTCTCCTTAAAGGGGGTTATATTTGGGGTTTAGGTTTTCGTTGGTTTTCGGCCTTCAGTGCAGGATTTGCTCCTTGTGGCTCCAGCTAGACGATGTGTGGGTTGGAGGTGTTGGACGCTTGGTTTAGATGCAGGGTTTCCCAACCCCCTGAGTGGACCTAGAAACAAGAACCCCCTTAAAGGTTCCTCCCAGAGGTCTGGTTTCGGGTTTACTGTCAATACGAAGCACTGTGCAGGGATTTGAACTTAGACTTCGACCCTGATATGCTTATTACCAAGCCCGTTCGAAAACGAGAGCGAATCAGGACATGACGTCAACAGTTTTTGTCCGATAAACCCCAAGTGGTGATTCTGACCCTGGCTTGGTCGCTCAACAAACTGCCAGCTAGAGCTTGCAATCCGCCATCATGCTTCAAGCATTACAGGTTTCATTAGCTTACTGGTGCTTAGTAGGTAATCAGGGAATACAACCCTTATGTAATCCCAATATAAAATATTCTGTTGTTCACCACTAACCCCCAGTAAATTAGTGGGTCATGCGCGCATTACCCCAAACCCTCAACCCTAAACCCTGAATCCTAAACCCTACCCTAAACCCTAAGCCCCAGACCCTGAACCCTAAACCTGAAACCCTACTTGGAGGGTTAGGGAGACTTTGTAAGTAAGTTAATAACCCCTATAACCCACATAGTAACCCCATTTATTCCCATTATTAACCTATTTACTAAGTCCCCCTGACCCTCCAAGTAAGCCCTAAACCGTAAACCTTACAAGCTCCAAGCGGAGGTCCTTCTCCGACCGCTTTGAGTCCTATGCCATGCAGCGAACTTTGGCGAACCCTGGGTTGCAGAAGATACCCTTAGGGTTAAGTAAGGTTTAGCATTCAGGGTTCAAGGTTTAAGGCTTTAGGGGTCCAGGGTTTAGCGTTATAAGGTTTAGGATTTAAGGTTAGGGTTTAGGTTTTAGGGTTAGGGTTGAGGGTCTCGGGTGCAGACCTGACAGCTTAGGGTGAGGGTCTAGGATCCCAAAGCCCCTTTCCCATGACAACGAATATTCCCCTGTTGAGTACAGGGGTATATACTTGTATTATATACATATACTTAGAACATTCATTCTTAGTTTCTTTATGATACCGGGACGGGGGCATTCACCCAGCATAATCCTCACGTGGGACTAGTACTGTACCACAGGGGCCTGAATATTACCAACAGAATTGTTCTAGATTCCTTGTACAGGTAGAGGCTGCCTCTAATATACCTCAAGATGGTATTAGCCATCACATATTATGTAGGCCCCTACAGTAGGTAAAGTATCCCGTTTAGCTGTTGTGCCACGTGGCTGATTGGCATGTTGAGTGTCTGGCCCTTCAACGATGTCATCCTAGCCAAACGCATTGCTTGGGGTTGTTTGTTTTCGGCGCGGAAGGGACCTCCAAACTTAAAACCCTACGGCGTATTCCAGCATTCTGCATAGCTCGCGCCAGATGGCAGATGGGCAGTGCAGCCCTCATAGGGTTTTTGGAAGGCCTTTTTCGAGATAATTTCCGTATCAGGGTCTGGGGACAGCGACTTGTGTTTATGGATTTGGTTTGGGCTTCCGGGACTTAGGGTTTAGGGTTTCAGGCTTGAGGGAATAGCTTGGCATAGGCACCACGGATTTAGAATGCGCGGGGGTAGCCAGAATTTGTTGAGATCTGCTTTACGTGATAAGGCTTGCCTAGTACATTTTCAACTGGTCCTCTCGTTAGGTTGTGGGACCGACTAAACTCCATATGCATTCCCTGTGTCGTTTCTATTGGGAGGGGGTTAGGAAGGAGGCTTATGCCAGTGATCTATGTGTTACTGAGTGGGGCCGGTACCTGAAGTATAGATTTGGTAGTTTCAAGCAACAGTAGGGCCCAATGTAGACCCCAACATACGATCATCCGTATCGCAATGATCCTGAGTACAGGCATTTCCAGAAAAGGGTCACAGGGATTTTGGGAGATCCTCATATGGAATTCAGAGATAGTACGTAAAGTTTCGTGTCGTGCTGGCTTTGGGTCAAGGGTTCTATTTATCGGCAGGATGTTGACAACACTAGCGATACCGCCCGAAGACACTAATCTAGTGAGACAACCGCATATTGCCCCAGATCTTGCTTACCAGCGCCCAGAACTCAGAACCCTTACACTCGAAGACCCCGAGGGCTTATGGATTGGAAGTTCCGCCGTAGCGTGCAACCTTATACCCTTAACCTCAATAGCCATATCAGGCAGGAGTCTTACTGAAGTCTATTCACGGTTGATATAGACTCCTTTGGGGCATCTGTGAGCATTCTTGCTAAGTGCTTCTTGGGAGGAGTCCTGACATCCAAATCCAAACTTATACTGTACACCCTAAACCTTGACCCTGCAGGAACAACCTGTACGCCTACGCCTTCCCCGCCACGTTCCTTATTCCGTTCTTGATCGAGCCTATTGCAACCATCTATGCGCCCTACAAGAGACTCTGCTGAGAGTTTACATAGTTTAGGCCTGGCCAGGTCATTAGAGTTCAGAGTTTAGCATGTTGCACAGGCCCTTGGTGAATTCAAGCAAGTAGTTGATCTTTTAGAGAAGTTACATAGGGAAAATTCCAAAGGCCGACCCACCCGATGGGTTTGGGAATGTGCAGGAAACTTGGATGCTGAACGCTTGGCCGGGACCTGTGTTTTTGCACTGTAGGCACTTGAAAGGCAACATGTAGTCGCACAACTACAAGCCTTTTTAAAAGGCCTACGTGGCTCAATGTGAGTGTGGGGAGGGTACCTTTTTTTTTTGCTGGGTGTGTAGCACATTTGGGTTCCCTTTTCCGAACGGACCATAGTTTCTTTCTAGTGCCTTTTCCCTAAGCTTGAAGCCCGAGAGAGGAAGCGGAAGCAGACTGAGAAGCAGAAGGACGCTGAGGCAGCCAAGAAGGGCGAGGGCATGACAACGGCCAAAGGATTCTCTTTCAACAATACCTTCCAAGTGCAACACCAAAAAGACAAGCTGCCTATGCCGAGTGGTCATTGGTTTGAGTTCTGCAGGGCACTTGCGTGCGATCCAGCAATGAAGTGCAAGTCCTGCGCCCATCTTCGTGATCGAGTCCTTGTGCCAGCCGACCAGGTCGCAAAGGCTCCGGAGGATCAGCCTCCTGCCGCGTACAGCGGCTGCGGACGGCCGCCTGCAAATGTGCAGGCGCCGACGCTTCAAGCGTGGCTTGCAGCCAACAGGCCCAACATCTACGAGCATGTACGCACCATGTGGTATTGGTGTAGTATCTGCGCTGAAGAGAAAAATTTCCATCGATTGGGCATGAGTGGCAAGCAGTTTGTGACTGCTCACGGACAGTGTGAGAAGCACTCACGAGGAACTCGAAGCAGCCGGGCGCGGGCGTTGGCTGGTAAACCTGTTGAATGCAGAAGCCGGTGACCATTCTGCGGTAGGGTTTAGGGTAGAGGGCTAGCGTGGGGCAGCGTATTGGTGTAGAGAAACTGGCAAGTGGCTTTTAAAAACACAGGTGCAGAGAGCGTCTGTTACCAAATTAATGAGGATGTAGGGTGAGGGTCGTCCAAAACCATGTGTCCATCTTCATCGGCCCCTATGATAAGAACCCGGTCACTTCCGCGGGGTTTACTATGGGAACCTGAAACCCATCTTACGCTAAGGAAATGTAGGTACAGTATGTAGCCCTTAGGACCCTAAGTGGGTATTGCCTTGATAGATGTGAACCGTCAAGGACAGACAGTTGGGGACTTCAATCGACCCCTCTATCCTGATACGAAACACCAGGGATTTTGAGTTTTAGGGTTCAGGGTTCAGGGTTCGGGGTTTAGGGTGTGCAAGCGAGGT